GTTCTTGGTAATTCTACAAAATCTACTTGCCAATAATCTCCTGGTTCTGCTCCTACCCAAATTCTTCCTATTTGTGCCTGTTGTCTAGCCACTGGATTGTTTTTTAACCAAATTTCACATTTTGACATTACTGATTTTGCCATTGTTAACATCCGTACTGAAATTAAATTTGGTTTTAACAATTTCACCAATGCCTCTGCACCCCATGACGTTCGTTATGTTTAATTTGTAGAACTCTCATTATCAAGGGAGGTACCACTACTTATCCCTGTGTAGTCACATACCACTCTTCTGAATTCTTCTGTGCATTCAGTGAGCGTCCCAATTTCTCATCTTCTATTGAATATTTTGGTTCTGGAGGTAAATTGAATTGAGATACAGGAGTTTTTAAAGGTATCAATGCCATTGCAGTTTGCACTTCTCGAGCAACTTGTCGGGCTGTCCAGTCTGCTTTCCGATTTCCCTCATGAATTTTGGAGCTTCCTGATTGGTGAGCTTTGCAGTGCATGACTGCTACTTGCTCAGGTTTTTATACTGCTTTTATTAATTGCAGGACTGCATCTTGATGTTTAATGTGTGTGTCTTTAGAAGACAGCAGTCCTCTTTCTTTCCACAGTGCCCTGTGTACGTGCGCCACTCCAAAAGCGTATTTTGAATCTCTCCATATATTTACTTTCTTCCCTTCACTCAGCTCTAATGCCCTGGTCAAGGCAACCAGTTCTGCTCGTTGGGCAGATGTGTTTGCTGACAAGGCCTTTGCCTCCACCACTGCACCTGTTGTTGTTACCGCATATCCAGCATATCTGGTCCCGTTCTCCACAAAACTGCTTCCATCTGTAAACAGCTCCCAGTCTGCCTGTTCCAGTGGGACATCTTTCAAATCTGCTCTAGCTGAACAGGTGTGTTCTATCACTTCCACACAGTCATGTTCCAATGGGCCGTCTTCTGTTGTGGTACATGGGAACAAAGCTGGATTCAAAAGGTTAGTTGTCTTTCGTGTGACATCATCCTGCTCACTCAGGATTACCTGGAATTTCATCATCCTGCTTGGATATAGCAAATGACCCCCCTTTTGTTCTGAAACAGTGGTCACCATGTGTGGCACGTAGACATCTATGTCTCTACCCATCGTGAGTTTCCTAACCTCTTGTATCAGCATCACAGTGGCTGCGACTGCCCACAGGCACGAAGGCCATCCGGCACTCTCATTGTCAAGTTGTTTGGAGAAGTAGCCTACCGGCCTTTTCCAGCCTCCCAAAGGTTGGGTCAGCACTCCCAGTGCTAGGTGTGATCTTTCATGCACAAACAGGTGAATATCTTTGGCTAAATCAGGCAATCCTAATGCCAGAGCTGTTGTCAATGCCTCCTTCAGTTTGAGGAAGGTCTCCTTCTGTGGTTTGCCCCAGGTAAATGGTTGTGTCTTCTGGGCTTCATACAGGGCTTTTTCAATTAGTCCATGGTCCATGATCCACAGGTGGCACCACCCTGTCATCCCAAGGAAAACTCGCAGCTCATGCAGGTTCTGGGGTTCTGAAATAGCACAAATAGCTTGAATATGATTAGTACCCAGCTTATGTTGCCCTTGTGAGATTTCACATCCCAGGTAAATCAGTCTGCTGGGCAATTTGTGCCTTTTCCTTAGACACCTTATATCCTCCCATTCCCAGCTGATTTAAAATTTCAATTGTTACCTTTATGCAGGTTGTTTTCTCTTCTGTAGCTGTCAGTGTATTGACATACTGTAGCAGCAGGTATTGTTCTCTCAGTACTTGCCCATTCTTGGTCCAAATCTCCAGCTTCTTAGCCAGCTGGTTTCCAAATAGGGTTGGACTGTTCTTGTATCCTTGTGGGAGTCGTGTTCAGGTGAGCTCGGTTTTCCTTCCATTTTCTGGATTTTCCCATTCAAAGGCAAACAGTTTCCTACTTCCTTTCTCAAGGGGTATGTAGAAAAAGGCATCTTTTAAATCAATTACAGTAAACCATTTCTATTTCTCTTTCACAGATGTCAACAACATGTAAGGATTAGCTTCCACTGGGTAAATATCTTTAGTTATTCCATTTATTGCTCTCAAATCCTGTACTAGTCTGTCCCCACCATTTGGTTTCTTCACTAGAAATATTGGTGTATTGAATTCTGATTCACATTCTTCCAGAATTTGGTACTTCAAAAAATTATCAATAATCTTTACTATTCCTTGCTGTGCTTCTCGCTTTATGGGATACTGTTTGACCTGTACAACTTTTGCCCCTTCTTTTAATTCCACATGTACTGCTTGTGCCAACTTAGATTTTCCTGGTATGTCTGTTTCCCATACTGAGGGAATTACTGCATCCTCTACTCCCCGAGGGACAGTAGGGACTGGTTTTTCCTTTAGCATTAAAATTTTTCCTGTCTTTGATTCAGGTATTTTTATTAAAAGTGAAAATCTCTTGAGGAACGTGGAATATATAAAAACCTCACTCAGTAATGGCCTCTGCCTCACTTTCTCATGCCCAAACTTTGGCTGCCTGATTCACCACCCCACCTCCCAATCTCAACCCCAAATCTCCCATCCCTGCTGGACATCAAGACCCTTCCCAAGCCCGATTTTCCCCATTTCACACCTCCCAAGCCCCCTCCCACCCATCCTGCCCCACCCAATGCCCATCTCACCCCTCCTGATCTGCATCCCACTTTGCCCAATCCCCTTCCAACCCCATTCCACCTGATGCCTTCAGAAGGCTGACCTAGAACAGAGGATAGACAGAGTTAAGGATAAAGTTTATTAAAAGGACTAAAAGGATACACCTTGGGCAGTACAAGAGCCTGGCCAGGGCTACACCCAAGATGGACCAAAATTTGCCACAAAAATGGACAAATGATCATGAGGTCTCACATTTTTAGAAGCTGAGGTCCATCTGCAGATTGGGGTTCATGGTCCAATTACAGCTTCAGATGACGAAGTCCTGTTCTTGTTTTCTCTCTTCAGTCCACCCTTGTTTATGCTTTTGGGCCTGGAACCTGTAATAATTGTCCCTGGTATCAAGCTAGAAAAGGAATTGTTTTGTCTACCTCCTCTGTGAAGAGAGCTCACTAACACTTAATATGAAGTTCAAAACTACAAACCTAGGCAGTGCAGAATATGAAAAATATGAAAGCTAAAACTTAAGACATCACACCCTGAGGGGCTGTGGAATCCAAAAATTTTGGAGGGGGTGGGGAGTGAGAAGTTTCCAATGTCATTGAGTGGTTTTGAGGTGACAGATTGAACTCTCTCATCTCCTTGAGTGCCAAGAAATGGAGACAACTGCACCAAATAACCCCCTAAACCCTCCCAAGCACATCCCTGAGTCCCAGATTCCCTTGAAGAACTAGTAAAAAGTGAGGTTTTAGATGCTTTTGTTGAATCTGTTGATTGTTACCCCAATTTTGTCTGTTCCAAAGGGATGAAGATGAATCAAAAGAAGATTAGGGCCAAATCAAAATGACCACCAACCCAGCATCTTCAAAACGTAGATCACTGGGAACGTGGGTCATCAGGGCTCTGCCCAAAGTGGGTCCTCCCATGGGGGATGGAGCTGGAGCAGCACATGAAACTCTTCCTGCACTTGGGGCACTCGCAGGGCTTCCCTTACTGGTGCCTCTCTTTGTGTCTGGTCAAGTGAGAGCTCCTGGAGAAGCTCTTCCCACACTGGGAACACTCATAGGGCCTCTCCCCAGTGTGGATGCGCCGGTGGGTGATGAGCTGGGAGTTCTGCATGAAGCCCTTCCTACAGTCGGGGCAGCGGAAGGGCCTCTCATCCATGTGAATCTGCTGGTGCCTGAGGAGACGGGAGCTGGTCTGAAACCTCTTCCCACACTCGGAGCACTCGTAGGGCCTCTCCCCAGTGTGGATCATCTGGTGGATGATCAGTTGGGACCTACACCTGAAGGTCATCCCACATTCCCCACACTCATAGGGCCGATCTCCAGTGTGGGTCCTCTGGTGGCCCCACACTCATAGGGCCGATCTCCAGTGTGGGTCCTCTGGTGGCAGATCAGGTGGGAGCTCTGGCAGAAGCTCTTCCCACATTCCCCACACTCGTACGGCCTCTCCCCAGTGTGGATGCGCCAGTGGGTGATGAGGTTTGAGTTTTGATTGAAGTCCCGCCCGCAGTCAGGGCAGCGGAAGGGCCTCTCATCCGTGTGAATCCGCTGGTGCCTGAGGAGATGGGAGCTGGTCTGAAACCTCTTCCCACACTCAGAACACTCGTAGGGCCTCTCCCCAGTGTGGATGCGTTGGTGGATGATGAGTTGGGAGTTGAAGCTGAAGCCCTTCCCACATTCGCCACACTCATAGGCCCATTCTCCAGTGTGGATCATCTGGTGGCAGATCAATTTGGTGCTTGAGCTGAAGCTCTTCCCACACTCCAAGCACTTGTAGCGCTTCTCCCCATCCTGAAGCTGCTCATGGACCACCAGCTCAGAGCCTCGGCTGGATCTCCGGCCGCCTTCCCTGCACAGGGTGGGTCTTTCCTCCTCAGAGCACCCTGGGATGGGTTTAGAGCCCCTCCTCCTGTGGGATCTCCAGGGCTTTTCCTCCCCGTTGTATTTCTGTGCTGTGGAGCTGCTCAAAATGGCCTCTTCCATGAGGTTCTGCCCAGGGATTTGTCCTCCCTGGTCTCCATCCTCAGCTCCTTGTCTGGGGGAGGAAGGACAAGGAGAGGATGGGATTTGCCTCCGTGCCAGAGGGAAGGGGAAGGAGATCCCCCCAGTGCGTCCCCGGTAGGACGGTGTCGGCAGTGGGGTTGTCCTGCAGCTGGGGGCCAGGCTGGGCTGGGAGATGGAGCAGGAGAGAGGGGGAAAGGGGCACTGACTTCCTCCTCACCTGCCTGGGTGTCCTGGGGCATCTTCCTCTTCCTCACAGCCTCCTTCTCCATCTGGCCAAAGTTTGGGAATGGGAAATCCTGGCTTGGGGAAAAATATGATTCATGAGCACATGGGCTGAGGGGGTTCCTTCTGCCCATGTTCATCTCTAGAAGTCACCGGGCATCTGGAGTCCATAAAAAACCCCAAACACCCAGATTCAGCCCTGAAAATGCCTCCCAGGAGTTCCCCATCTCTGGTCTCTCCCCTTTGGTGTTCAGGGTTTCCCTCCCATCCCAGCTCCTGGAGGTCACGCTTGCACTGGGGGTCCCCAATCTACTCAGTCCCTGCCCTCCCCAGGCTGCTGGGAGTGCCAGGAATCCGAGAAGTTCCCCGTTTCCATCTCAGCACTTAGGGATGCTGGAGGTTTTTGGGGCTTCAGAGTCCCTTCTCCCCTTATTCTCTGCTTTGGGGTGCAGGGGGTCCAAGGAGTTCCCCCTGCCCCTCTCCAGGCTGTTGAGGGTCCAACAAATTGCAGAGCTCCTCCTCTCTGGGCTCCCCACTTTGGGGTCCTGGGGGACACAGGGCTCTGCTCCTCCAGGCTGCCTCTGCCAGCAGCTGCCACCAGGACCCCCCAATGTCCCCCCAAGGGGCATTTTGCATACAGCTTTGGAGTTCTTCATTCTTCAAACATCACTCACAAAAAAACCTAACCCAGGAACCCTCCAGGATACCAGGGCCAAGCTCCCCCACCCTGGTCAGCTGGGGGATGCGGGGTGATGATCCCACGGGTGGGAGCTGTGAATTCAGGGAGTGCTGGGCCTTGTGGTTCCTT